CATGAATATCATTTATCTTTATACTTTTATATCCTGGATGCATCTTAATTAAAACAAATAGTGCATCTCTTACATCATTTGGATTTATTAATTGTTCTTCCCATACAGCTTTGTATTTTAGTCGTCGTTTCAGTTGTAATCGAACCATCATCGACTTATCAACTGGACGAGGTAATGTAGTTACAGTGTCTTCTACATCTGATGGCACACAATGAAGTGGCCCTTTAGTACCTTTTTGTGAAAATCTACTCGATAATTTTCCTGATGTTAAATTTACAATTTTCATAAAAGGTAATCGTAAAGCAATCAAATGTTTTTCAAGATTATTTAATCTTTTTAATTCAGATGGAATTTCACAAACTTTCAATCTATTCACGACTGCTCGGCTTGGCATTTGTCGTTTCTTTATTTTGTCTGAACATGATTTACAAATCCATTTTTGTTCTCTTGACGATGAATACATAAAGTAAGATTGAATGTGTTTTTTTATTTCATATGACATGTTTTGTGTTATATACTTTTCTTCAACGAATGGTATCACTTGATTACGAAAAAGTGCTAATTGACATGATATACAAACATAATCAGGTCCTTCTTGAATTACTTGTCGAAATTTATTCAAGTTATTCATGTATAAATTGCTTTGCTTATATATACATTTATGGTTCTGAATAGAAATATATTTTTTTAGAATACGTCTACGTTGATTATAAAGTCGTCTGGAATTTTGTCTCATCAGTGTATTATTTTTATGATACCAATTCATTGCACGTTCAATTGTTTTCATTCGTATCATTGGATCAGATTTATACTTCTTCGAAACTCTTTTTTTTGAACGTGCTTTATATTGATTACGAAAATCTAAATTATTATGATATTTATCTAAAATATGAATCTTTGATTTTGTTTTCAGTTGATTACGAAAATCTGAATTATTATGATATTTATTGAAAATATGAATCTTTGACTTTGTTTTGATTTGATGACGAAAATCTGAATTATTATGGTATTTATTTAAAATATGAATTTTTGACTTTGTTTTGATCTGATTACGAAATATTGTATTATTATGATATTTATTTAAAATTCGCCGGCTTGCGTTAACATTATTTTCAACACGAAATTTTGTGTTATTATAATATTTCAACAAAATATGCTTTTTTATCCTCTCCTTTTGTTGCATACGAAAATCATTATTATTGTTATATTTATCTCGAAAATATTTTATAGCATGTTGATTTTTTTGTTCTCGAAATTGAGAATTTTTGAAGTATTTATTATTTGACCAAGTCCTCTGCCGCTTCTGTTTTACAGTCAATAACTCATTATTCATAAAAGACTTTGACGTTAGTTTTCGTTTCCGATTCTGTATTTGTCTTTTTCGTTCATACTCTAGACGACAGACTTTAGATACAATTTTTTTAATAGTATTTTTGATGATGATTAGATCATCATATTATTTTTCTTTTTTTAATAGATTCATAGATTTATATTGTGTCAATGTATTACTAAAATAATTATAACAGTTTGAATGAATTACATTTGATTCAACTGTACCGAATCTTTTCGTCACACACATAGCTATTCCATTTTTATGTCTAAAACTTGAAAACTTCTGAACAGCTCTCACTGTTAGGAGCAAAATTCGCCACGAACGACTCGCATCTGAATGAGCATGTTGTTTTCGTTTATATGCTTCTGTTCGTGTTCTAACTTTTGATAGAGTTGATTTTTTACGAACCATATTCAATTTTATGAAATTTTATGAAGTATTTTTTACTTTATAAATTTAAATTTCTCGTTGAGATTAAGCAAGTATATTAACTAAGCACTGCTTAAACTGCTTAGTGAGAAATATCTGTATCTCTTAACTTAGTGAGATAATCAAGAAAAAGTTTCTTTTAAGCTAAATCTTCTGTAATACTTAGTGAAGATATAGTTAATACTAAGTAAGAAACTTCACAAAGTCAAAAATTTGGTGACTTTCTTTTAATCAATCTTAGATTTTTTTATTGTTAAACGATAATTATAATGAATATAGTCTAAAAAAACAAAAAACAAATACAATATGAATAAATTAATGTAAGGTAAACATATTCATGTAACTATTACAAATATTCAAGAACAAAACATTTTATTTCGTTAAATTTTTGATTCAAGAAACAAAAAAGACAAGAAAAGAAACTTAATATAAGGTTAAACAAGTTTGTATAAGAAATACAGGTGTAGAAGAACAGATAATAATTATATGATCTAATTAAATTTGCCATCTAAAATCCTTTTCCTAAAATCAATCAAATAATAAAACATGAAATATTGTTTATATAACAAGTAGAAACATCAAAAACATGGAATCGATTTTTTCCACTAAACGAACCAAAATATATATTTACAAAGTTCGCATTAATACAACAGTATCACATGAAACATGTTTCACATAAAAAAACAAAATTTCTCAACAGATTTAAAATTACATTATACATATCAATATTTTTACAATGTAAACAAAAATTACTAAAAGAATGGCATAATTTCTACCGAAACATATTTATACAAAAAGGAAAAATATTCGAACAAAAAAAATCAAATGTATTCTTTTATTTAAAATATACTACAATTAAAAATATAATATTAGCTGAA